TTTTACCCACATGAGTGACGGTGATCCGTGTTGCTGATTCTGTATACAAAGCTCTCAGGCCAAATCTGCCAAGTTTCAATCAGGGCCCTTGGCGAGGTTCCTTGAGTCATTGAGTGTATGCCAGTAGTCATGCGAATTTCGGTTCATGGTTTCGTGTTTGCATGCTTTGACAGCAAGGAGTCCTCAGAGCATCCGTGGAGAGAGATGGCAAAAATCTGCGGCTAGAGGTTCATTTAGCAGCCCCAGCATGCCGGAAAACCCTTGAACAGGAGCCATGAGTCACCCCAAGTGCGTTGGCCTGGTTCTTAGTTGGAAAGGAAGGTGGCAGGAGTTTGATCCGGATTTGATCCGGATTTCGCTGGAATTGCCAATCCTTGGCGCTGCTGCGAAGGGTAGGGCATGTTGTTCATGCGGGGCATTTTCTCAATCTGAACTGTAGGTCGAGCAGGGCAGACTTCAGTTGGACTCAGCATCGGTGTAGACATGAGTGTTTGTTATTTTGCTTGCACACATGGATTAGTGGCTTCTTGGCAGTTTGTTTGTGGGTGTGTGGTTGTGCTTGTTACATTACTTGTTTGTGTCACTCTCTCTCTCTCTCTCTCTGTCTCTCTCTTTCTTACTCTTGTTCATTCTCCCTCTCTTTTTGCCGACCGGCATTTGCCAGTGTCTTTGTCTGTGTCTTTGTTTGTGTGGTTGTTGGTGTCCCTGTTTGTTCCTTTGTCGCTGTTTGTGTCCTTCTCTGTCCATTTTTTTATGATTGGTCGTTGAGGTCTTGTTGGCCTGTTTGATTGTTTGCTTGCTTGTCTGTTGTACTTGGCCACGTCCTTCACTTGCCGTGACCAGCTTGTGTAGGATGCCAATCTTTGTGTGTCCTGGTCACCCATCCATCTGCCAGGCTGCTTTTTTGAGAAGTTGCTTGGGCACTTTGCAAGCCTTCGGGTCTTCGGCTCATGGGCTGGCAAGAGCCAAAAGCTAGCAATTGCAAAAAGGGGCTACGGCTCCTTGCTCGGAGTGGGTATGTCTTCACATGGCAAACATCTGGCGGTGGCATTCCATATGACATACGTTGCATTTCGAGACACAGGCAGTCGATCAAGATATTGCTCCATTTTTCCTGCGTGTGGGGCCTGCCAGGCAAGCACGTGAGCCAGGCAGGTGTTTCGCAGTATCGTGTGCCATCCGAGTTGGGTGTCGCCTGGTTGACTTTACATTCCTGGAAGAAGCTAGGGGGACTGGCTTACCTTTGCATGGGACCGCTGGCCACAAGGGAGAGTCTCGTATTTTGAGAGGACCTGTGCTGAAGTGTGGCACATTCACATCTCAAAGAAACCCAAAGAGTTCGCGCACGTCAGTGCCAGTGGGATTTGTGACCCGTCCGTGCCAGCCTTTGCCAAACTGCCGATTTTGTCACGCATTCGCGGCAGAGTCTGCTCAGGCTGCCAAAGTGTTGCGCCTGTCACGACATCACACCAATCCAACAAAGTGCTGTGCCTGCCACGCGATCTGTCACTGTACCTCAGGTTGCCGAAGCGCTGCGCCTGTCACACAAACTGATGTCGCGAAAGAAGCGTGCGTCTGTGCCAATGGCGCCGGGTCCGCATCTGTTCCGAGCCCGTGTCGACGGGCGTCGCGACCGAGGTAGCTTTCAGCCAAACCCACAGAAGGTTGCCGATTTTTCCCGATTTCTATTTCGGTGCCTCACGCCAACGCGTATTGTTCGCATGCGTGCATTCATTCTTCTCATTCCTCTTATCTTTGCACAGAGCTACTTTTTCTGTCTGTGTCCGTAACACAGACGTCCCTGCTAAACTTCCTTTGATTCTGTAAGCACCTACTTAAGTTGTTAGTCAGCCCTACAACCCACTTTTGAGACTTGCAACCATGGTGAGTGGGGTATAACCAAGCTTACCAATCACCTTGAAGTATAAGCTTCGCGCGAGAGGACTTGGCTGGCGAGTGGCGGTCCGCTTGCGGGCCGCGGCCAACTCTCTGAGTTCGGTGGGGGGGACACAGAACTGCAAGCGCAGGACCTCACATTTTTTTTGCGGCACACGCGCACGACATTTAGTTTGTATGAAATTAGATTGGCAGACGTGGCTTTTTGGTTGGAGTTTGTTTGTATGACTTTGCGGCAACCAGGGTTTGCTTGATGTTGCTGGTTTTGACGGATGGGTATAGAAGTCCGGTCCATGTGCAAACAAGCTGGGCGACGCGACAAACTGTCAGCCGGCAAATCCTGCGGAAAACGATCGGTAGGTTGTTTTGCCACTCTTTTGCCATCCTTGAACATTTCTCTTGAGTGGGGTCTCGCAGATGCTTGGTCTCACGCCCGGGCAGAACGCGCAGCACTGAGGGCGAGCAAAGACAGTGGCTACGTCATGTTTGTCGGTATTGGAGGTTTCTTTGCCCCAGCGAGCAAAAAGAGAGATCAAACAAGACACACCGCAGGAGGCTGTGACCAGTGGTGAGTGACTCACACTTACCGCCATTTTGTCTCAAGCTAGCAAACCAATGGGAATCAACGGGTTTGCCGAACTGAACTGCTTGAAAATCCATTCGCTCGATTCTGCCGCCCAAAGGCTGTTTTTCATCCAGAGCCGCAGCTAGGGGCTGCAATGCGAGCGGAATCCGGTGCAAATGGGGCTATATATGCAAGGATGTACGGTCAGCTTTGTATTCGATTGGTGGTTCGGACATTCGAACCCTGCGTGTTGTTCCAAGTGCAAAAAGCAGTGTGGGTCGGCCAACAACAAGGTGAGCGGTTGTGTGCATGTGTCATTGGCTATATGGCTGCTTAGTATTTGTTCGGTGTCAAACTTTGGGGTCGTTTGTATTGTTGTAAGTTGAACCGATCCGCTATGTTTGGCTGCAACGTTCAACTGTTCAAGTGTGTACATGCATGTGGCAGCAGTAGGACAAAACATCGGATGTGAGGCGTATGCCGAGAGTCATAGTTCAAGTTCAAGAGTCTGCGGACATCTCTCAACCTGAGCACTTGTCGTGAAGGTGGTGCTCGCTTGCAGCCCCATTCATGAATCCAAGGCTGTTCGCCATGCCGTCGCCCCCTGGGCTTGTGGTTTCAGAAACACATTGTCGTTGCTTGTGAAAGAGCTCAGCGCAAAAGCAAACCTTTTTCCAGGAGCAGTACGCGTAAAGCCAACTTGGGGCAATAATTCGTGTTTGAGGGGGTTGCTCTTTTCAATGGACTCGACCCTAAAAGGGCCGTGGAAAAAAAAGTGGCGGCCGCTCCGGTGAGGACTCGTTGAACTTCGCCCCTTCAAGCCTTGGCTTCGCATATATTTCCACGACTACGACCGAGAGTCTGGATATGTTTCTGCCAATGCCATTCAGTGAAGCCTCTTTAGTGGGCTGTTGTTCTCAAACCCCGACCATCAATTGCCAGTCCATCATTTGTTTGCGAGTGCCACCTGCTGCGACTGTCGAGCTGTGGAGGGGCCCGGGGGTGTAGTCTTACGAAGCTGGGGCGGAAAACCATTTGAGTCAAGTCAGCTGACGACAAAAAAAACTTGTCGCTGAATGGCAAGGCCCCCAGCGCATGACCTTGGGCCTGGTCAAGCCTGAGACACGGGACATGCCAAAGTTGGCGGAGTCGAGACATGGCAAGGGGACCCGCCTTACGATTGAGCAGTGCATTGAGCTCAAGCAGCTCAAGCAAAGATGCTTTTACTGGCTTAAAGTATTTCACATAGTCTGCAACAATTCCCCCTGCTTTCCTGCACGAGGCCGGTCGCACTGTTCCCTTGGCTCGCAGCTGCGCGGTTCGCTCCCGACGGGGCATGGCGTGCAGCAAGGCGGGAGGGTTCTGCTACATTGGCGCCGGCCGAACCGTGTAGCATCAACGATGGACAAGACTAGTCTCGTGTTGAACGCATTGGAGGAGGCACTTTGTGAATGGACCATTAGGAAGCAAGATGGCAGAGTGCTCACATTTACATTGAGGCTGCTTGGAGTGTTGAGCAAGGTGCCCTCAACCAATTTAGGAAGCTATCGGATGTTGCTTGCGACACTTCCTTGCGCTTGTTTGCTGCAACTGCTCCCCAGGAAAGATTTGGACTCCTCTCTGGAAGAAAGCAATGGATCCGGAGAGACCATTTCTTATTCAATGATTGGCACACCACATGCCTGTCCGCCGATTTGAGGGTGATGAGTTGTGCGATGCTGAGGCCTGCCAAAATGCCTAAGCAAAACCCTGCGCCCCCTCTAGTCAGCACTGCAAGCAGTCAACGCCATGATTAGTCGGCCACCTATACTATGAACTGGTCAAGCCTGAATGACCGTTTTGCTGGGCCATAGGCTTTGCGCACTGACTCCTTCCTGACAGCTTGTCGACCATCAGACACGTGGATGTTATCGGACGCGGGACGCGATCCACTTTCCTCCATGCACGTAGCCAGTTCACCTTCATGCATAATCCACTTGCGCTGTTGTACTTTGTCTTTGTGACGCGTTTTTGCGCGTTTTCGACTATGGATGACTAGTCCCAGACATGTAGGTACTATATACTCACATTTAACCCCCCCCCCCCAAATGGGTCAAACGTTGGTTTCTAATACCTACATGGATTGTCTGGGCATGGTGCTGGATGCAATGGCAAAGTGAGAACTTTGCCTGCGGAGAAATCTGCTGGTTTGAAGTGACGGGGCAAGGCTTGCGCGCTCGACCCGGCGGATTTTGGCTCAGCCTATATTGTGTCGTTCTATTTCAGGTCTCCTCTTGCCGCCTCCGCGGCTTGCGAACTTTCACGTTTTCAGGCGAGAGCTGGGGTTGGCTTGACCGTATCGCTGTGACTGTCACTTGCCCCAGCCCTGCAGAATTCCGCAGCACGCTTCCTGTTCTTCATTGTAATCCGTTTCGGATACGTAAATACTCTATCGATTGTAAAGAGGTGGAGCAAAGGTCTGTCCATGTCCTTTTTTCCGGAGTGCTTGTTTAAACTTCAAACAAAACATTGCTTCACACAGTTGGCTATATCCCTGAGGATGGGCAAGAAAATCGTGGGCCTCTACAGCCTCATGTGCGTGCTTTCTTTTGTCCTCATCACCATCTCCTGCTTCAACAAGTGGCATCAAGCAACTTGCCAAGCAAGTGCCCATGGCATCCACTTAGCTTGATCAAACATCTTTCTCAGCGACGCCATAGTTGGGAAAGCGGATAAAGCTATTCGTGCTCTGAGACTGCAGGGCATGCTGCCTTGGGTGTTTAGTAAGACTAGGATGTGAGCTGCATTGAGCTTGGCCATGCCTCTGTCATTCATGTCTGGATTCACAGCGTTTCCCCCCGTTAGGTGGTCATCCCCGCTGAAGGACGAGAACCTTTACCTATGTAAGCGACACACGGGAGGATCGTTGCTTCGCAAGCTGTTTGCGACAGTCGCTTGCTAGTAATCCAATGCATCTCCCTTGCGCAGCGGGCTTGTAGAGGCTGGAATCATTGCATGCCGTTTTTTGATGCCGATCATTGCTGCACGGCGAACCCTGGGCGCTTCCTCAATGGAAAGGGCTTGAACGTGTGATTTTGGCCTGTAGGCACATGCACGTGCACACTTCTAGATACACGTCGTAGATAAAGACAGTTGCATGTACCATGTTCAGGGTGCAGCTTGAGACTGCCCGATCACTCGCTGAGATGTTTTGATGTTGCTTTCCGTCTTGTTGACAGCACAAGTACCAAGCCTCAACACCACCCAAACACTACGAACGCAACACGTCAACAGCTACAGCATCATCTTACGTGAACACACAGAACAAGAAACACACATCGCAATGCCTGCCAATATCGCCTCGCCAATCCCGGCAAAACGGCGACAGTGGTGGCGATGATATGTAGGCAACAACAAAGAAGGGTGCCGCCAAGACCTCCATCCCACGAAGGTAAGCAGCTTTTAGCCGACAAACCAGAGGTCACCTTCAAGACCTTGGGCTTCAAGACTGTGATGCGCATGGAGACCACCTTAACAGTGGTCACAATTCCGGCCAGCTCCAAGCTCCTCAGCAGCCTCAGCATGCACAAAAACATGGGGCTTGTTGCTGGTTGAAAGATGTGTGGGCCCTGAGTTTTCTCGTGTTTCAAGACGTCCATACGCAAGTTGACTCCCTTGGAGTTCATGCAAAATGTCCAAGTTGGATTGAGAGCCCCTTTCAGACCAATTGGGGGTGGCTCCCGTTTTTGTGGGGACTTGATGCATTTCAGAGGAACGCCCGCTGACAGAACTGTCCTCCGCATGAATCTAACATTGACGGGAGGGCGTTCCCAGCTGCATGCTCGAAGCCTTGGGCGGTCCTTACGCCGTTTGGCAAGCGTCCTGAGGCTGTTCTGCGGCATCTTCAAGGATAAGCAGCCCAATCGTTGCGCGGAATCTTGGCAGATCGAGTCTGCTCGAATTAGCTTGCTTGCAGCTACATCTCTACGACATGCAGTGTTTCTCATGTCAATGTGCCTCAGCTCTTTTTGAGCTTGTGTTGTCGGTTCATTACGTACTTAGTCTAGGTGTTTGTTACATACGGTCGTAAATTGGAGGTGCCAATTATGTTGGCGAACACACAGCGATGCAGCCCGATATTGTTCGAGGCTAACTTGGATCAGACTACATATTGATGTGATCATCAAGGTGGTATTATGACGCCTTACTTTGGAGACATGCCTTAGCTTGCCAGAGTGAGCAATTGCCATGTACTAGGCTGGGTGTATTAGCCGTAGTTTGAACGGTCATCCTACGGTCCGCGAAAATCGAAGTGGCATGCGTCCCAATCGCATGGCCGCAAATCGCCCGACGCAGTGCGGCCCGTGCCTGTGTTTTTGTTTGGAAGCCGTTCGCCCCCAGGAAATGCAGGATGGCACACCGCTGCAGGAGGTGGGCTGGATGGGGACAATGAGGGAAACCATTTGCCAGGCAGATATGTTGTTCTTGAGCAATGCAGACAGACATTGTGTACAGAACTTGCAAAGGTGAGGTTCAGATTGGAGCAGCTTGTGCTGTGTCTGAACATGGGACAGGGCACTGTTATATTGGTGCAAGTCAGACCCTGACGGAAAGTTACGGCCTAAGTCTTTTCTTCTTTGTTATATTGTTTATCTTCCCATTATCGTGTTCAACGTTCCCCTAGTTGACAAGGTGCTTGGACGTAGGGGGTGGTTGCAAGGATGCAGGGACTTTGGGACCGATCAGGAAATATATTGTGATGTCTGCCTTTGGGTTGCCTGTTGCTTACAAGCAATCACCTCGCTCCGAATATCTGAATGGTGAACACACCTTGAGAGGACACGATTGAGCAAACTGGATAATCTATACCGATCCCGTGTGAAGCGCCAGACCCTCTGGTGTTTTGGTGTCTTTGTGCTGTTTCAAGCCAAGAAGAGTGTATGCACTAACCCCAGGTTCCTTCGCAACTGAGCGGGTGTCAATGCTTGAGGGAAGAGCATGGTAGCTCGACTGTGCTATGCTGATTGACAGCGATCCAGCGTATGCATAGCTAGTCTTGAGCACAGACCCTGTAGAAAGGATACCCCTACTGGATAAGTTTACACAGTCCCCTTTTCATGAAACGACGAGCGCCTGCTTCTTGGCACCCCATCCGACTCATCGGAAGTCAGGCCGCCTCTGACTGGTGTGCGCCGATGATCTTCACGATCTACCCCGGCCCTTGCATCGCCGACGGCCCAGGGGGCGGGGAATTCTGCGGAGCGCCAGGGGGGGCGCAGGCCGTTTGTTGGATGACAACATGCGCTTGCCGGTGACCCATGTCATAGGCCTTCAATCGCGCCTACATCTTGGGCATGGCAGTGATTCTGACGCTACTCGGCAGCAGAGCATCTTGAAGTTAGGTGGGGAAACCGACGAAGATTCGACGCCACTAATTACCTGAAAAGGGGCCTTTATATCTGACTAGGGGCCTCTAGGTGCCGAAAGTGCAGTGGTTGGCTGACTTCTTGGTTGAAAGCATCACCAGAGCACTAGAGCAGGCAAAGGGCGGGGGCCACATGATTGGTTCCCCATTTACTTCACCCAGCAAATGTTGTTCTGCAGCCCTCCGTATTGGGGGTTTTGCAAGTCTTTGAAGACTTTCCTTCGAGTTCACACACCACACAATTGGGACAGGGCCGAATCCTTGCAAGAGACATGCATCAACACAACATGTGGGTCTGTCTTTTTTTGATGGTACCCCTTTTTGGTTGATTTTGAAGGGACACCAAAAGGAAACCACTTTCTTTTTTGGCGGGGGGGGGGTCCTTATAAAGACACACCCATGTCACACTTTGTTGTGACGCACGAAAGTCTCCATTTCACATGCTACTGTAGTGAGTTTGCACTACATGTCAGATGCGTGAATCATGCGATGACAGGCGTATGTGTACTGCTCAGATTTGCACCCACACGCTTCTTGGAGGTTTCTTGGCACCATGAACCCCAGACAGCTGACGGGATGTTTGCAAATTGCAGCTTGAGCTTCAACCGTGAAGAATCGTCATGGCCTTGTGGATAATACGAACTTTTATGTTATAAGTTATATCCTTTTGGCGGAGGTGGCAGAAGCGTGCAAGCGTCACTGCAATCGATTGTAAATTGAAGACGTGTGGCAAACGCGGCTTTGGACATACAACTAGCGGGTTGAGCGCGGGCAACATGTTTACACACACACACGCACTCGTGCTGTTGAACCATACCTGAGTCATAACGGATGTTGCTAAGTTACTTGAAACGCGCAGTCACCTAACACTATAGTCTCGCTTCCTGAGTTCATGGACTTTAAACTTTTTGGAAAGACCATTTTGGCGGTAAATAACAAGTTCTGACTTGTTTTGGCCAGCCCACTCAGGAAGCAAGTAGTAGGGAACCAGTTGGTCTTGCTTTTGTCGTGTGGCTTCCCTTCCGCTTCCCACGAGAAGCTAAAGTAGCTTCCCATTGGGTTTGCCCTGGAGTCCAACTGTTGGTGCCCAGATTTTGGCGGTCCCTTTGCGTGGGTTTCCCCTTTAGAGACTCGAGCAACCCCACAGATATTGGCAGGCGTGAGCTAAGGTATGGCTTGAACATCATCTTCCTGTTCTCCAGCGCCTTCCTGCTGTATTACTACTTGGGCAGCCCCACGCCAAGAGATGGTTTGGGACATGGAGCAGGCTCAAAGGACAGGCTGCAGGGTAAAATCGATTGGACAAGACAAGACTACTCTGCGCTTATATGCCTCGCTGATTTGTTGTTTGTGAGCCTCACTGGTTTGGGAGTGGGTTTGAAGTGATGTTTGCCATGAGCATGTATCTGCTTCCTCCTTTGCAACCATCACAGTGAAACGGTTACATGAAAGCAGCGCCTTCTGTGCAACCTTGGCTTGTGATTCGTTGCACAGGGTGTTGAATCTAAACCCTTGTGACAATCTTTTATGGTGTCTAAGGGTTGACGGCTTTCCTTGCAGCAGAATCTCTCGGAAGTTCGGGTTTCGCCTTTGATTTTCCCGTAAATGAGGCCCCAGGTGCAGCGCATGTAAGGCAAATCCCACAAGCCAACCTACCGCACCTGGGCTGCAATCCTGCACGGCATGGCCACCGGGCTCCTCATAGCGGCGGTGATTTGCTGCTTGCCAGAGACCGCAGACCGCATGGGTTTGCCAAAAGATGTGTCCTGGCACCCCAGTTGTTGAGATGAATCGATTCACCGCGCTCCTTTCAAAGTGGGCCCAAAGTATCTAGTTTTTGCACCCATCTCAGCATTCTATGGAAACTGTGTACGGAAAAAGGTCGCGTCTCGGGAGGAACTTTCTTCATAACATGACATACACCATGTAGCCCGTGTTCGTTTTTCCGTGGCGAGGCCCTGTTCCCAGTGTTGCTCACGTTCCCAAAGCATGAGCCAAGAAACAAGCACCGATTTCCCGCCATCACTGGGCAACTAGGTGAGTTCATGGAACAGGGGATTTCTCGTTGGGCTACAGCTCGGCACGCATCTTGGGTTTGTCAAGCACAGAGCTGAAGTTTGATGCAAAGCAGCAAGGCCCTCAAGCTGCCAACCGTCGTCCAGCTGTTGCCAGGCTTTCTTTGTCAGTGAGACTGGTATGATTGGGCTGACCACCAGGACCCATAGGTGCCCAATGACTCAATGAGTCCACCTGGCACCAGCGGGTACTCCGGTACCTGCGTATCTGAGCAGTACATGCGCACTTTTATCATGGACCTTCGATCGGGGCTAGGGGGGGGGATCCTCTTTCACTTCATGAGGCCTCAGCCTTCGAAGAGTTTCCCTGCTATACTGGTCGTCGGGATCTGTGGTGTAAGGCTACACCATTTTCGCCATGACCGCCATGGATGCGATTGGAATCTTAGCTGCACTTGGGAAAGCGGGTGCATCAACACGGCCCGCACATCAAGTCTTGGTTTTATTTCCTATACGGACTGGGCAAGAACATCGGAATTGCTGGAGAGATACCCTGCTTCAGACAACTGTAGAAGTGGACATGGGCGAACCAGAATCGAGGTCTTCCAGTCAGCTTGCGTCTTTGTCTAAGGGAGTTTGACACCTGACAGTAATGCGGCACATTTTATGTACTTCCTCCAACCTTCCTCCAGCCTTCCTTCAATACCTTTTCATCATGTCAAAGGTGCGAATTCGCATTATGGCAACTTCGTGTTGGATAGCAGCATGATCACCTGGAGCAGCGAGGGAGCAGCAGAGGCACAAACACACATCCCCTTGTAATTCCTTGTGTTATGTGCAGGAGTACCGGAACATGTGCCAGCGCCAACTGGTCTTATGTGGGGGAAATCCACATGGCCACTGCCGCAACGTGTCATGCATCGCCAAGCGCCATACTCGTTCAGAAGGGCAGATCCGTTGCCCTCTGGAGGTGTCGCTGGAGCATTTTCAGGGAACCTGGTTGGATCCATGAAGGAGACGTAAGTGTTGTTTGGTAAGAACAGAGATCAAGACACATGTGTCCTTGAATCAGTTCCCAAAAAAATCCAATGGCCATTGTAGTTGACACTTCCCAGCATACAATGCATGCAATATCGATGCCATGCAACGCGAGG